GGAGGTCTGATTAAAAATCTGAAATCATAATTTAGAAATTCAAAATAGTAAATCCAATATGGCGGACCAAAATGTGAAAAGTGATTTGATTTTGATGAAACTTGATATATAAGGGTTTTCTGGGTGTCTGATTCCAAATCTGAAATCAAAATTTACCAATATGGCGGACCAAATTGCGAAAAGTGATTTGATTTTTATGAAACTTGATATATAAGGGGTTTTTTGGCGGGTTGATTCCAAATCTGAAATCGTAATTTAGAAATTTAAAATAGCAAATGAAATATGGGAGCATAACATGCGAAAAGTGACTGGATTCGGTTGAAAGTCGGTATACAGCAACTGGTAATTTGCAGTATGACAATGTTTACACTGGAAAAATTATAATAATTTTCAGTTTCAAAGTTAAAAATATCTATACCTGTCACTTGCATAAGCTTTAATTAATGCTTAAAAGTATTTATTATTTATAATTATAGCAAATGTTTTCGACTAGTAACAGTATATAACGAAATTTGTTAAACATTGGTCCAATTTTTTGCGATGTTTAAGTATTAGGTATTTTACCTTACAGGCTTTAATAAAAATCAACTCGAGGACATATCGTGGGAACACAACTGCAATTGCGATATGAGTCCTTTCGTTGGTCGAAAACTTTGATTCCTTGGTTACTGTGTTATCACTGTGTTAATTAATTGGAGTAATCAATATTCTTCTTTCTTATTATAAAATATTGTAAATATATCAGAAAAAAGTTTTATCTCGACAAAAAAGGTCAATGCGACGATAAGGTCAGCCAATCGATACTGTATTTTAATTGAACATCGGAAGTTGCTACTAGCGTAGAAATTGATTTCGGAAAGTTCAGTTCTATAACGAGAACTCCGTTCCTCGATTTCAATATTTGAAATAATTGGATCGCTCGTGCAATGTCAAGAGCTGAAAGCGAAACAAAGCACAACGTGATTGAATCGTTTCACCGTGGTCAACGTTGAATTTGTTACGTAGTAAGTAAATTGGAACCTGGTATTAGATGCTGTTCGCTATTTAAATATATATAATTATTTCATATTTATTTGTTTGCTTTTGAACTTCGATGTTTGACGATTCAAACGTATAAGAGTTAAATTGCAATGGTTTAACGTTAGGTAGCAATGTTTAATAAAATGATTTGTTTTATATGCAGAATTGTAGCTGTTTAATTCAACCGACTGAATAGAACAACATTTTTTTTATATATAATATTTATTATATATTATTATTATGTATAATTATATAATCTTTATTATTATTTATTATATATAATATTGTATATAACACAAAATAAAAAATCATTATATTTCAAAATGATTCTATATATCTGTATATATATATATATATTGTTTGCATATATTATAAAAGTATTTTGTTTTCGTAGATGGTAGAATAATATTGTTATACCAGAGTTGATTATTTAGCTTGACAATGAATGTTACAATTTTTCCTAAACCAGAGTGCGATCTTCCGCCATCAAACCAATAAATATTACATATTTAAAGAGAAAGTTGCATTCGAAAATAAATGATGGTAGGTCAGTCACAATTTTCATTTAAAGAAATAATATTCAAGAGACGAAATCCGTTGAAAGTATACTTAATTTGATTAGCACGACCAATTGATATTGCTCACTAGAAATTTCAAACACGGATTATTTTTAGACTGGTCTTGAAAGCATCGCGCAGTATAGCACCGGATGTCCGTATCATAAGTGTTCATCGATATCAAATTCCTTCGTAACAGAGATAGGGTAGAATCTCGACTAGGTGAAAACTTTGGATATAAAATATGAAAGATAAACAATCGTTTACCCGTTACACTTTAACTTTACAGTTTACTCATTCCTGCTTCGGAAATACTCATCAGCGGTTGTTTCATACAGGGTGCCCCAAAAATGTTGTAACACCTTGAAAGGAGTGGTTTGGGAGGTGATTTGGGACACCGTGTATATCGGGCCTATAGAAGGTCCGTCAAAATTGTGTTGCAACATTTTTTACTAAAACACCATATTTTTGAGTTATTATGGTGTACAAGTTAAAATAGGACACCTTGTATGTATTATACATACAGGGTGTCCTAGAAATGTTGTAACACCTTGAAAGGGGTGGATCGGGAGGTGATTTGAAACAACTTTTTCCTTAGCGAAAATGTTGTCCGAAGCTTCGTTAAGGAGATATTAAGAGAAAACACCGACCAATCAGAGCGTGAGTATGCTGGTGAGCGCTGCCGCTTAGCGCGCAACCACGCCTACCGCGGGGGGATCCACCGGCATACTCGCGCTCTGATTGGTCGAGCTTTATCTGTTAATATCTCCTTAACGAAGGCTCGGACAACATTTTCGCTAAGGAAAAAGTTGTTCAAAATCATCTCCCGAATCACCCCTTTTAAGGACCGCCAACATTTTTGGGACACCCTATATAATACTTCCAAGATGTCTTATTTCAACATGTACACCATAATAACTCGAAAATATGGTGTTTTAGCAAAACAGGTTTCAGCACAATTTTGACAAGCCTATGTCACCGATATACAGGGTGTCCCAAAAATATTGGAGTTCCTTGAAAGTGGTGGTTCGGAGGATGATTTGAAACAATATTTTCGGCAAGGAAAACGTTGTTTCAAATCACTCCCCGAACCACCCCTTTCAAGGAACTTCAACATTTTTGGGACATCCTGTATAATACATACAATGTGTCCTATTTTAACTTGTACACCATGATAACGCGAAAATATGGTGTTTTAGCAAAACAGGTTTCAACACAATTTTGACAAACCTATGTCACCGATATACTGGCTATTTAAAATATATTGGAGTTCCTTGAAAGGAATGGTTCGGACGGTGATTGAAACAAAGTTTGAACTCCAACATTTTTGGGTCACCCTATATAATCTTCAGCCGAACAACCCGTTTCGATTGTTAATTTTCACAAACGACATACGCAATTTTTTCTGTTGCAGATTCCTAAAATATTAATCGAAAAATGTGCACTACATAGTCCACAAGGGAGAATTTCGAGAGAAGAAGATGATTGTCACGTGCGTTTTTTTGACCAGGACCATCAACCAGCAATACAAATTCAGTACAAAGAATTAATGAAAACAAAGAAAAAGAAAGAGAAATTAACGAACAAACTAAGAACAACTAACAAACGAAGTTAAAAGAAGATAAAGTAGAACGAGATGAAAAATTAAAGAAGTTACGAGAGAGAGTTGCATTCGCGACGAGTAAAATTAGAAGGAACAAAAGAACAAAGTGAGAGCGAGGACAATCTTCAACCAAAGTTACCTAATTAATTAAACGATTATCGATCGAATTCGTGCGACCACAGAGCTCGAATCGATTTTACGTATTTCTATTGACGACTGAAATGTATATTCATCTATAATATTATTGAAAGTTGATAACGAGAGATTATTATCGATTACTGTTAATGTTAAGAGATATTTGCTGTTTACGAAACGATAACGAGAACGAATATTTTTCATTTCATTTATTGTATTTCCATTTAGTTTTGTAAGAGAGGAGCGATTTTTATTACTACCAGTGAAACGAGAATACAATCAATTACAAAAAAAAAATAAATAAAAACTATAATATAACGAATAAGGTTAGACGCATTTAATAAATTATATATAGATGTTAAAAGTATAACTATACGAAATAGTTTGTGTCAATGGGGTCCACGTTTTAAAGAGATTATAAGAGGAAATAGATTTGTTTTTATTGTTACTATTTGTAGCAAGAGAAAAGAGTATCTCAAAAAGGAAAAGAGAGAGAGAAAAGGATAAGTTAAATAGGAAAGAATACCTACTGAAGATACGAGGTGATTATTTCGTTAGCGTTAAAACATTCCATATTTAACATTTTTTATGCTAATTATATCTATATGTTAAGTTGCATTATGTTATACAATTTTATGTTTCAATTATACAATTCACATATACAATTTCATATACAATTATATACAATTACTTTTAACTTTAACTTTTTTTTTGCACATATGCATATTATTTTGTAAATAAATGACGAAATATTTTTTATCAACAAAAAATTTTTTTATTCACTTTCCTTAATCATACCTGTAAGGGGAAAAAACATTCATTCAATTTTATGCAATAGTTTCTTAGAACAAAATGATTGAAAATATGCTTTTTTTTTGTGCGTCACAGTGAAATGCCCCCTTAAGAAAATTTGATAAATTAAAATAAATTTCTCCGAATTTCTAAACCAGACTAATTCTTTAAAAATTCGGTAAAGGTAATAAATCGTAATTTATTTGTATGTTTAATTAGAACAGGTCGCAGAATATTTTCGCGGAAGAGCGAGTATTATTTTGAGCTGCGATACTAAAAGTCATCAAAATGAATCTCGAAGTGGAGCTCATCGCGGGGGTGATCAAGGGCGAACCGCCCCCGAAACACTTACCTGCGCCCAGGCTGATTAAAATCTTCATCGCTGGAGAACGGAATGGTTCCTATCTAACAAACACGCATTTTTATCGATATTCTTGTTCGTATGTGTTGGATGTTATGTTAAATGGCGCATTTTGCATATATACGCTTACAAGTATTATTTTCCTTCGGAACGAGAAAACCTGGCTAACATGCACTATTTCACGTTTGAAAATTTCGGTAATTTTATTTATGTAAAATGAACGTATAGATTTATATTCGTACGCAATTCAATAATATAACATTAGACATAAAATATTATGTATGTACTACTTATTAATGAAATGGAAAAATATATACAGGGTGTCCCAAAAATGTTGTAACACATTGAAAGGGGTGATTCGAGAGGTGATTTGGAACAACTTTTTCCTTAGCGAAAATGTTGTCCGAGGCTTGGTTATGGAGATATTAACGGAAAACGTCGACCAATCAGAGCGCGAGGATGCTGGTGGGCGCAGCCGCCTAGCGCGTAGCCACGCCCATCGCGGGCGGTTCATCGGCATCCTCGCGCTCTGATTGGTCGACGTTTTCTGTTAATATCTCCTCAACGAAGCCTCGGACAACTTTTTCGCTAAGAAAAAAGTTGTTTCAAATCACCTCTACTCTGTATATACAGGGTGTCCCACAAATGTTGGAGGTCCTTGAAGGGGCTGGTTCGGGAGGTGATTTGGAACAACTTTTTCCTTAGCGAAAATGTTGTCCGAGGCTTCGTTAAGGAGATATTAACGGAAAACGCCGACCAATCAAATGCGCGAGTATACCGATGAAGCGCTCGCGGTAGCCTATGAGTGCAGCCGCCTAGCGCGTAGCCACGTCCACCGCGGCCGCTCCACCGGCATACGCGCGCTCTGATTGGTCAGTGTTTTCTCTTAATATCTCCTCAATGAAGCCTTGGACAACATTTTCGCTAAGGAAAAAGTTGTTTCAAATCACCTCCCGAACCCCTTTCAAGGACCTGAAACATTTTTGGGACACACTGTATACCTGGCGTGGGAGCTACCACGTTTCTTTTACAGGAGAGATGGTCGATTCCAATCTAACCTGAAACTGCTTTCACAAATATCTCAACACGCCTTCAATATTTTCTAAATTTAATTTTTCTTATGTTCATATATTACGGGACATTTTGCATTACATTTATGCACACGTATTTGTATAGTTTCTGTAAATTAATGGATCGATTGTTCCTTTTTTTTTTGCGTCTGTCTCTTCGCATGGCTGTCCAGCTATGTGTGTTTGTCGAATCTTCTCTATTTGTTTAGAATATTTCTATCTTTCACTGCTTGTGTATTAGACGACGAATGTGTTTGTCTGTTTGTGTACGTCTCCACGAATTTCTGTTTTAGTTAACTGTAAATGGCCGAGCAACGATTGTATCTGTATTCTAATACGCATGCGATAATGAAACAATAAATGCATCAGCGACGTTAATAAAAGGAATGTGTGTTTAATCTGTTTAATGTTTAATAAAGGAATGTGTTACCTTCTCAATAAAGGGTTCTATTCATTTTCTCATTCTTCAACCTATGTGATATTTTATCTGTCTACGCCATTGTTTAATGTGAAATCAATGTTTTTATACAGGGTGGACCATTTTTAATTCCCCAGTAGAATGAAATTTTGAAGAAGTCTGAAATTTTGGGATTCTTAAATTCTTAAATTCTGAGAATCTTAAATTCTGAGATTCTGAAATTCCCCAGTAGAATTTAAAATGGTCCACCCTGTATATGTAGTGTATGTTTAATTTTATATATAGTCAGTGTAACTAGTATGCGTACAGCAAATAATTAAAAATAAAATTAATAAGAAAAGAAATAAGAGTTTTACATGAAAAATAATAAACTTTAATTAACGCAAATTCCACTCTAAAAATGTGTAGAAATGTTGGTTAATTATTTCCCTTCTGAAATTTATTAATAGAATAAATATATGAAATTTTATGTTGAATTGGTTCCTGTATGAATAATTATTACACTGACTGTATGTACAAATATTCAAATAAACTTGACCCGAGAATGTTATAATTAAATTGATCCATAATGAAAAGAATCTCAAGCAAATAAAATCTTTTCGTTAAAGTTCAGAGACTTTCAATTTACACCATAAACAATTTTGACCAATTTAATAAATCTTTTTTATAAAAAGTAAATAGTAATATTGTATTATAATAAAAAAATAATTGATTTTATTTATTTGGAAGACCTACTCGTTATAGTTTAATTTTAAATATTGCCAAGCAATTTTGATTTTAATTTCTAAATTATTTAGAGTTTTTCTTGCATGCTGTAATAACTAACTCTTCATTAAGTTGTACGTCTTTTATAAAAACGTGAATTCTGATGTTATAATGAACATTGGGAAATTGAAAAATATAAGTGTTATAATGCTGGATTTATAATATTAGGAACACTTTTGCTGAGTTTGATTTTTGAGAACTTTTGTGGCCATAACTAAATTTTTAAATTCTTAACTTCTTAAATTCTTAAATTCTTAAATTCTTAAATTCTTAAATTCTTAA